GCGGGTAGGTAGGAGCTCTGCTTACCACCCCTATAAGAGCTAGATAGGGTGCCCTTACCTATCTCTGTGCTCTTATAGAGTAACCTACTAATAGCACTCTCCCCTCTAGGTCTTTCCTAGGAGCTACCTATTGTAGCGTTAAAGTAAGTTAGATTACTACTATCTTAGGTAGTAAGACCCTAATCTATAACCTATATAGATCCTTTATCTCCTATACTAAAGTTTAGTTCTAGTGTTAGTTTAGGAGTTTAGAGCCCTATTAGCTTAGGGGACTTTGTATAGATCCTTTGTGCTAAGCTAGCTGTGCTTAGTACCTACGCTAGAGGTGTCTGCTTAGGGGGTTATAAATTACTAGGCTAGCTAGCCTAATTATCTACCTCCTCTAGCTCTACCCTACCCCCTAGCTCCTACACTAGGTTTAGTCCTCCTTGCTTACTAGACTCCTTATATTACTCTACTATAATATAAAGCTAATTAAAGATATTAAGCTCTTTATATGCTTCTCCTATATTATAGATCTTATCTTTGCTAATAATATTAACTATCTTTTAAGCCTCTAACTATTAAAGCTACTCTAGATCTTTCTCTTTATAGAAAAGATCCTTATTAAAGGTAATATTCTGCGTTATAATAATCTAATTAAGCAAGGGGATCTATATCCTATATATGTTAGATGCTCTATATCCTACTAGATATCTAATATAACCCTAAGGGTTTACCTTAAAAACCCTCTTGTGACGCCTAGCTACTTAATCTCTATTAAGGGGGTAAGCTTAACAGCTATAGGCGTATACTCCGCTCTAATTAGGGCAGAGATTAGTAGTTACCTCCCTTATCTGCTCTAGTTGCCACTACCTAAAGTATCTAGTAAACTAATAATCTAGCACTTTGCTAGGTAATATTATATTATAAGCATAGGATAGGCTTATATTATAGAGCTAAGTTGCTGCTTTAATAATTTTAGGCTAGAGCTTTGTTAGTAGGTTAGCACTAATCCTTATTTTAATTAATTTTGTTATAATCTCCTGCCCTACTCTTTCTACTCCTCTATTAGGTTTATAGGTATATATAGGTAAGCTCTTAATTTTAATACTATTATTAGCTACCTAGATCTAAAAGTAAGATTTGCCACGCTAAGGGAGCGTTGTAATATTATTGTCTTGTATAATCTTAACTATGCTAAGCTTATATTAGTTAAGTATTAAGCTCTTAAAATTTAAAACACCTATATAATCTTATTAAGGTTTTTAGCTTATAGTAGATACGTATAAAGCTTTCCTAAGTAGTTATACTTTAATACTAAGATCTATTACTTATAAGCTATACCTATTAGTATATTAAATAGATCCTATAATACCTAGTAGTATAGACGTAGTAATCTTTCCCTTGGTTGTCTTAATATAACCTATTAGGCATATGTAATAGCGTAGTACTTATATTTGCTCCTAGGAGTTCCTTTAATCCTAATATTTATTACTAACTTAACTAGAGCTTTAAGCGCCTTAGGTCCTAAATAGCCTAATTATTAGTGCTAAAGCTCCATACTATTATATCTTAGGTGAGTTATCTAGGATTGTTAGGGTTATTTAGGCACTATGCTGTAGATTATTTAATAAGGGGTAGAGGGCTTGTATTCTAGGAAAGTTAAGTTAAACTTGCGTAGTAACTTAGCTAATACAACGCTCTTTCCTAATAATCTAAACTGCAAGGTAGCATCTAGCCTAAGGAACTAAACTCCTACTTTAAGTAATTAAGCTTCTAATATAATATTTACATAAAAACCTTCTACTAACACCACGTTAGTAAGCACTAAATCTTCTATTTTTAGACCTCTTAGTCTATTAAGAGTATTAGGGATTACTCTAGTCCCTCTGCCTAAGATTAGAAAAGCTTAAGTTCCTACTTTAACTATCTTATATTTAACTAATCTAAATAAGCTTTCTTCTAGGTAGCTTATATTATTAACTAGGTGTACTGCACCCCTATTATTAAAGATAGTGCTCTTTAATAGAGCGTAAGCTTTAAAGTCTATAGTTAAATAGATCCTGTTTGTTTTCTCTGCTATTAACATAGGGTTAATTAGTGCCGCCTAGATACTACCTAGATAGGTGATCGCGCTTACCTTATTACTATAATCTTAATTAATAGGATAGGACTTAATTAGAGCTTTTCTTAACTCTTTAAATTTTTAATTCCTATTAATCTTTTTCTTAATCTCTAATTATTAAGTAGTAGTAAGCTTGTTACCTATATTAGTCTAAGCTTTAATAATATTTTTGTATTTAGGAGGTTTCTATAGGTAGGATCTACTATATAAGTATAAAGACTCCTTCTTAGGTTAATTAGAAGGTGGAGCTCCTATTATTGCAAACACTCTAGGACCTTTAGAGCTTAATCTTATGTTGTTCTCTTAGAGAAGTAATAAATAGATCTTAGTAACCTATAGGAGGTTATAAGTTAGCTCTATTATTACTAACTTTTTAATAATCCTTTAAAATATAGTTTAACCCTAATCTAGTAAGATCCTAGTAGATAGAGCTTTAAGATAATCCTATACTATAAGCTATCCTTTAATATTAGGAATGTTGTATACCTTAGCTTGCGTATATAGGATTATCTACTCCTTCTACTAGTAATTAGCGTCTTAGCTACTTATCTTTACCTTAGCAAGATAAGCTTTATACTGCAATCTTGCTAGTGTTGCAGCGCTTAAATTAGTGAGCGCTAGGTTATTACAGAGTACTTAGATAAGTGCTTAGAGGGTTACTCTTCCTTAATTAATAAGCTCTATATAGGCTAGGGTAAGGATCCCTTAATTTACTATATTGTTAACCTATATAAAAAGGTTCTAGATTACTAATAACTTTAATACCTAATCTAATAAGTAGGCTTAGTACTAAGCTATTTTAAGTTTATACTACTTGCTTGTTATATTAGATAACGCAATATCTATTAGCATGTTAGGCTTAATAGGTTTATTCTTAAAGTGGTTTTTAGCATCCTAAGCCTTAGGGTCTACCTCTACCTAGATCCCTTTAGTTAGGGCATAGTATCTAAATTAAATATACTAGGTAGGCTAGTTAGTTAATCTAGTAAGTAGGATATCCCCCTTTAGGATTTAGTTGCTTATAGTAGAAGAGTAATAAGTAAGCTTCTACTTAAGAAATAGTATAAAGAAAGAGTAAAGTTTACTAGCTTAGTGTCTAAGTTAAATAATACGCTTAAATAGATAGGACAATCTTTAATAAGGTAAAGCGCTAACTAGGCTTATAACTATAGAAATCTAGATTACTAAGGTTAGGAATAATTTAGGAGATAGATTATTAGATTATATCTACTACGATCATACTTATATATATAGAGCTTTAGCTACCCTTACTAGAAGGTGAATAATTAGTAAACCTTCCTTACTAGAGCTCCTGCTTTTTATTAGGCACTTAGCAGTAAGCTGGCAGTTAATTAGATAGTGGGTCATACAGGGGTATTAATCAGGATTGATTGGATCAAGATGCTCCGTGATCTGGTTGATATCCCTCCTGCAACACTATCCTATTAAAAATATATAAAGATAACGTCTACCCTAAACTAAATATACTAGTAGTATTACTAGCTTTAAAGACTAGGGTGCCTAGGATAGTAATAGTAGCGTTTTTAGGGGTTAGTATCCTAACCTAATAGTTAGTGTGCCCCTAGCTAGTAGTATTAGATTATAACAAGTACTAGTATAGCTAGATATATAACTTTAAAAGCGAACCTATTTATATAGTATACTAGCCTAACTAAATAATTCTACTCTAGATACTTATAAAAACACGCCTATAGAAGATAACTATAATATACTACTAGACACGCAACAACGCTAACCTTATACTATTATAGACTCTCTAATAGAGACTTTAGATTCTACTCTACTAATATAGACTTGCAAGAATACACGCATTAGGAATATAAAGGCTAGGCGCAACTATATAACTAAAGCTAAGGCTAAAGGTAATAGTAATAAGAGAAATACTTCTAGAGTGCAAGGCCTAAAATCACGGCTATCTCTAATACAAACTAGAGCATCTATTATAGATGCCCCTTATATAGATAGTAGTAGTATAGGAGAGCTAAATAATAGTAATAGTAATAATAGTGTCTAGGTTTATAGATAATTATAATATAAGAGGGTCCTAACTATATAAGTTAAATAATATATATATACTATATTAGTATATATAAATAATATAATATAATATTACTATATATTCTATACTACACAAGCTTACTATATTATACTACCTATTTACTACTATATATAATATAGTATATATAATAATATATATATATACCTAACTTTAAACTAATATACTACTAAAGAAACCTATAATATATATAGTGTAAGCAACTAACTTGCCCTAGAATATTTATAACGTGGAGCATAATCTTTAGTAATACTACTACACTATAATATAAGAGTGTTATTATAATAGGCGCCTTTATAGAACTTACTAACCTATTATTATAGGATATTTTAGATTATAATTTTATATACTAGGTATACTACCTAGTCTCTTAGTTATTGTTGCAGCGTACCTAGGCAGTGGTATGCTGCACACCTATACTACCTAGGTATCTACTAGTACTAGTTTCTATATAGTAACCCTACTAAATTATACCTACTATATACCCTCTATCTATACTAAATTTTCACCCTAGGTGCTATATATCTATCTACTATATAACCTGTAATTAGGTATATTATATAAACTATGTTTAAATAGACGCTAAAGTTAATATATATAATACTAATAATATATAAACTAAAAAGTAGTTTACCTTTATAGAATATATAGTATAGTAAACCCTATTTAGGTTTACTTCTTATACTTAAACTACTTCGTGGTCTACTTTAGATAAATATGGCTACTGTAAACCGGTTTTGTACCGTAGTGTACGGTATGGGTTATTGGAGCGATGATCTACGAACACGAAGAACCAATTCTATCCTTATCTATAACTTATCCACAGCTGTGGTCTTGAACATGACCGTCCTTCCTTGGCCAACAATGTTCCTTGCAATGACAACTGTCATTATCGTCAACACTAAATACCCATACGGCTTCAATGAGCTCATCTTCCGGAACAGAGCCTCGAACCAGCATGATGTTTGTTTTCCCTTCCGTCACTTCGATCGAGAGACTGGGATCATACTCGTCGAGACATCGCAATCCGAAAATCTGATCAAGGCCAAGATCTTTGAGCACCTTGAGTGCCATCGTCTGGAATGTGTTGTTGAGGCGTGGTGCCTCCTGGTAGTATCCAAACTCATAAGGAACAGCTGCGCCGTTGTATAATCGGTAAGACCGAGGCACGATCTTCCCCTCATATTGGGCCACGATATCCGTCTGTTCATGACCGACTTTCCAGGCCGTAGAGGAGGAGCGGTACTCGACAAGACGTTCACCGTCCGCGATAGCGAAATGTTTGTGCAGCAACACAATACCGTACTGTTCGTGGGCATTACACTCAAGAAATAATTTGCGCACTGGTCCGGTAAGATGAGCCCGCACCGTATCATCAACGAGACTCGCAGCAGATCGCAGCGAAGGAAGAGAATTGTAAGCAGCTGAATCGTACATGGCTCAATCCGGACCGCAATCAGCGTAAAGGGAGGTGAGAATGGTAGTCATTGTTATGGGATCCTTGATGTGATGAAAGTATTGATTGAAGAATCCATGGACGAAGAGCCCAAAGGTAGCTAGATATAGCCCATCCATAGTCCCAAACTGGGTGTCTCCCAGACAACCCGGGATGAGGGAGTTGCCCATAGCAGTGGGCAGTCACCACCTCATCGATAATCCTCTAATCCGAATCCGATAGCGAAGACGATATCACAATAGCAGTAGACGCAGAATTCCCCTTATCCTCAGCCTGAGACGCCACAGCGAGAGCAGTCGGCACAGGCGCTGTTGGTCGCGGTGTAGGCGGTATCGGTATCCTGGGGTGGTGGATGGATGGACTTGGTCTTGGTCTTGGAATTGGAGGGGGGAAGGGGAGGGTTGGGGCCGAGTATGCGGGATGGTATGGTTGGGGGGTATGGTATGCTTGAGCATGTCCTGGCTGGGGGTTATGGTATGCTTGAGTATATCCTGGCTGGGGGTTATGGTATGCTTGAGTATATCCTGGCGGGGGAAGGATACGGGTATTATTTCCAGAATTCCAAGCTGGAACTGATGCCGATACCAATGGCCCAACCGCAGCGGGATTGGGACTGGGGACCCAAACCCAATTCCCAGCACCGAGTGTTGAATTCTGCGATGCTGGCATAGAGCGATACATGGCTTCCGAGTGTATAGCAGGTGGTGCAAGCATGGAGTGCACAGCACCATGGGGAACTTGAGACCGAGCTTGTACTAGCCAGGCAGACGGTCCAACACCCCGACCACCATAGCCCTGATCTCGCTCCTCCGCACCCGTTCCCTCCACACGCAACCGCGTCGTACCCTCGCTACTCCGCCTCCTCGGCGCTGAGCCTCTCCACACATCCTCAATCATCCCACGCCCCACTCTACTACCCTCACCACCACCTAAACCCGCGCTCTCCCCAGCCCTCCCCGCAGCGGCAATCATACTACCAACGGGATGCAACACCGCCGTCCCAGGTACATACCCCCTCACCGCCCTAGAATCAACACCGGGTGCTGGAACACCAGGCGTACCCAGCCCAACAGATTCACGCCGCGTGGAGTGTGTATCAGATCCCCCACGGGAGCCCCGTTGTGATACTCGCATACCGGTAACAGGACGCGGTCTAAACTGCCCAGTCTCGGGACGATATTCCAAGTACACACTCGGGCGCTGAACCACACCATCCCGTTTTTCTACACCCAGCTCCGGCCTCTGCGTACTCACAGCCCGACGTCGTCCGTTCCGGCGCACTCGAGCATCGACTGCGACGGGGGGCACAGGAGGCGGGAGAGAAGGGGTGCGGGGTGCGGGGATGAAGCGCGAGGGGTCTTCAGAGGCTATGTAGGGACGTCGCGAGATGTCGAAGATGCGGGCGAAGATTTCGGGGTGGGGCGGGTGCGGGTGCGTGGCGATGTAGTGTGAGGAGAGGGGGTAGCCGGGGAGGGCTGGCGGGCGTGGGTTGGGGAGGATGCGGCGGGGAGATGGGTTGCGGCGGGTGGAGGGTAGATGGGCTTGGGGTGTTGTATTTGCGGGGGGTGGGCGGGGGGGAGGCGGCGTGAAGGTCTCGTTTTGGGGATCCGTGTGTGATGATGAGTTCGCTGCTGAGTGGAGTTGCGAGTAGATGTCTGGTAGTGTATTCGTAGATTCTGTGATGGGCGTCTGCGTGGGTACAAATGGGGCATTCTCTCTACCAATTCTTCGCGGCATGGTCATGAATTCTTCCAGTCTGTTGCTGGATTCCAGGGCACTTATCGAAGGGAGTATTGCTCGTTGAGAGAGCTTTGCCGTTGATGAAGCTTCCCCAACACTCCTTCTCTGTCTTTTCTTGTCGGATGCCTCCGTGTCGACTTCCGCTTCAGCCCTGTCTTTGGATTTGGTTCTGAGTTTTGCTTTTAATTCGGCCTCGAGTTGGAGTGCTGTACGGCGGTCCCGCGTTCGTTGGGCTTTCTCGTGTGCAAGCTTAGCCATGTGACTGCGCCATCCTGCATTTTGGTGCTTGCCAGTCATGCCCTCATCGTCCGAGGACTCCTCGACGACTGATCTGTCTACTGTTGTTGGTTGAGGTGTTTGCTCATGAGCCCGCGCCGTTCCTTTGCCCTTGTCAATTTTGGTGGGTATAATCTCACTATCGTCGTCTGAGGTGGATCCCGCGTCTTTTCCCTTCTCCTCATCAATGACCTTTGCAGTTGACGCCTCCTTTGCCCTGGCCTCGTCGTTTGCATCGACTCTTTGGCTGCGCTCATCGTGTCTTTCGCTCTCACTACCTTCCTCGGTCACGTCTGCTTTCTGGTGGCCCAACTCTTTTTCGTATTTTTCCCCAGTCTCCTCATTTTCGATAGTGCTTACGCTTTGAAGATTCGAGCTCTGTATAGCTGGCGTATGACCATCCTTGCTGGTATTGGCGCCGCGGTCCACAGAGCTATCTGGTTCCAGGCGATCCGAAGGGGAAAAGGCACGGTTGGATGACATCGCAGTGAGTAGCGAGTAGCGAGTCGTATATCCAGAAAGATGACTTGGCCCAGTGCTAAACCAGTGTTGCAATCTCAAAGATGTGTCGTTGCAAACCTGGAGTGCAGTCGCGCAATTGGATTCGAGCTTTTTAACAAAGCTTCGTTTGTGGCGCGGTGAATGGCTTTTGTAAAGTGTGATGCACCCCGTTTGCTGCCCTGAGACACATCTGCGTCGATAAGCTTAGCTCTGTGTAGTGAAAGCGGGAGCTCTATATGGAAACTGCGTCGTTTGCCTCAAACGCATGACTGCGAACCTCATGACAACGTTAGATTGGGGCGAGGACGTGGGTTTCACGCAACACTCACAAGTCAAGAATTAGAGAAACAAACTGCTTATCTACCGCACTACTATCCCAGCGACAAGTGCATCCATAGCACTACTCTGCATCGTTGCGTTCGGGGGCCCAGCATAAGGCCCCGCCCAATTCACCCCAAAGACAACTCCCATGTCTCCCCCTCTATCATTCCTCCATATGCTCTCTGAATTCCTGCCCACTGCATCCACATACACCGGATCTGGCGCGAGCTGGTGTAGCGCCTGTAAATTGCGCATAAAGATTCCTTTGAACTGGTTCCCGTCGGCTCCGCACCCAGGTTCACATCGATCGTGAATGACGCCATTTTCGTCTGATAATTCGCTGAGTGCGGCTTTGGCGATGCGGGTTGCGAGGGGAATGTATGTGGGATCTGGAGCTGCGCGTTGGAGTTCAACCAGTGCGCCGAGGATGACGCCTTGATTGTAGCTCCACACTGTTGCTCCGTTATTCTCGCAATTATCATTCAATCCATCGTTGATCGTCCCCTTCTCGTTCATCATTCCGCTTCTCAGAAACCAGGCCAGCGTCCGGCGAGCCCAGTCTACATACCCAGCTTTTTTATCCGCAGAAACACGGTTTGCCAGATGCGCAGCTGTACTCATGAAGAGCTCGTTCGCAATGGCGTTCATATAGTCACGCTCCCAACTCCAGTAGATTCCGCCGTTGAAACAGCGTGTAGGCCAGACTTTTGAGACGGCGCCAAAGATGCCTTCGGCAAGGGTAAGGTACGAGCGATCCTGGGTCAGGTCGTACGCGTTTATCCAGGCTAGGGCCCACCAGAGGTCGTCGTCGTAGAAACCGTCGAGCCAGTCGTCCGGGTTCAGAGAAGTGGCAAGGACCTCTTGGCTGCCATCTTTAGCTTCGGCTTTGGACTGGAATATTGGCAGGCTATTGACGTCAATATAAGGGGCCGGGTCGTGCCAGGACGATGGATATGAGGTCTTTGGTTCATTGGTAATGGGGAGGAGAGATTTCGTATAGCCGCTTTCAAAGCCTGTGCCGTTGAAGACGGCGAAGGTGCCATCTTCTCCGTCTAGTTCTCTTCTGCGTAATGCTTCTCTTTCAATGCCGGGTTGCGGGTTACGACTTGGTGCCTGCACAAGCGTGTTTGCGAAGATTCTGGTTGCAAGGCTTTGTAATCGTCCATTGGTGGGATCAGCTTTGGCAAGGTTGCCAACCATGGTCATTATGTTGGCGCCGTTCCACCAGCCTGCTGTGTCCCATATCCCTGCACCGGCGTTGTACCATATCTGAAGAGTCGAAAGCGCGTATTCTGCACGTTTTGTGGGGTCTATTATGGTATCTTCGAAGCTTTGTGCGTACGCGTTAGGGACAAGAGGTGTGCAGAGCAAGAGTGATTGGAGAAGTGATGAAGGAAGCATGATGGAAACCCACTCTCACAATGTGGGGCAGAAAGATCGCTGGCCAGCAACGAGAGGAAACAAAAGCTGATAAAGCAGGAGAAGTTGTTGCGGAGAAGTTGACAATCCCAATTTCCAAGCTACTATGCGACGTCTTCTATATTATCCTCGACCTCAAGTGCGACCATCCCATGCGCGCTTAGCCCCATCATCTCAGCCACCATCCGCTCATTACACGCGCAGTCGCCCATCGGCCCAGAATAGTAAGTTCAGTCCAGAATAGGCAATTGGGGTGGATATGGCGAAAGAAAATCAGTCTCACCGTGGGTCGTAGGCTCAGAGGTACCTGGCCTGCAACGGGCTGGTGTTTCATATCCGGGAGCTTGGCCTCAACAACTGGGGGCGGGTAATAGAAACAGGCGTCTCGAATGGGCGAAGACAAAGAACTGGCATGTATAAGCGCGATGCATGAAAAGGGATACCAAAGACGGCGATAACATCGTGGGGGTAATGGAAGGTGAGTGGTCAGAGAGTTTGATGAATGTTTAAGCGGCTAAGAACAAGAATAGTCGAGATTGTAGTCAGCATAGAGACACTCATCTACCGGTAGGGACATGACTTCTTCGACAAACCCCCCTTTCCTCGTGCACAAATGTTGATGATGCAGATGGTGGTGGTGATGGCAACAGCGGTGAAGCAGCGGCTGTGTTGGTCTGTGACCCCGCGTTCCGCCCGGAATGCTTCGGAACAGCGCCGGATTGGCTGGGGAGCAGGACAAATGAATGGCATGGGACCGCTTTGATCCAATGCTGCGAACAATATCCATGTCATTGCTACTGTGTGAACTTGAAAGTGAGTGTATACAGAACATGTGCAAATTTGACAATGAACGAGCTATTCTTTCACCTTTAGCATTTGAACAAGGACAGACAAGCTCGAGTGGTTGAGTTATCCAAGCCCCGAAGGCCTCTGAAGAAGCACTATAACTCAGACATCCAGACAAAACAGTGAAACATGCATCAGTTTCTCCCCCACGTGAATCTCTCTCAGCCTAATCATCACTCTCCCCAAGCTCATCAGGCAATCAAAATTTCACTCCCCAAGTCTTTGACCTCCTCGACCCAACAATTTCCCTCCCCTAACGCCCCTTCATCTTTCAGTTTCCATATTACCTCAAGCACTCTCTTGCTAGTATGGAGATAGCCCCAAAACATAATCCCATAGAGTTGATCTAGCGTATTCATGATCCACTCACGTTGTTCGCTGTCCTCACTTTCTGTGCCGGCAAGGAACAAGGGCCAGCATATACTTTTGAACAATGCGTCACCAGGTCGCAAGTGCGAAATATGGTGTACCACGTCATCAGCCAGCCCAGTGAGCGAAACAAGCGCAGAGCCGGATGCGGGGTCGAGCAAGGGGTTAGTGGACGGTAGGACGCGGGCGAGATAGATGCAAACTGCGGAGCGGTGGGCTGAGGCGATGCGGATGCGTTGGGAGAGGTCTTCATCGGGGGAAGCAGGAGCGAAAGATTCGGACCACGCGATGGGATCGAAAGCTATAGCGCGTTGGAGCAGAGCACCTACTTGGTCTTGGATAGTATTTGATCCCATCGTTGTAACGCGAGGGGAGTCCTGGGAGCTGGGTAAGGCGAATGATTCAATCATTATGCGGAGAAGGGGGCCGGGGCAAGAAAGGTAGTTGTTTGTTTCCGCGTAGCGAAGGATAGGTTCAAGTTCGATAGAGTCGGGTATTAAAGCAGACATATTGGAAAAGGAAAAAGTTGAGCCGAGAATGTAGAAGACGAGGAAGTCTGAGAGGATAGTCTGGCGAAGCCGACTCATAGGCTGCTGGAGGTAAGGTGGTGTACCAAGGAGTTTGATGAGTCTCGAAGCGCCATCCATGTGAACCTTCCACTTGTCACGGCCAGATTCAACAAGAGCGTAATTGACAAAGAGCAGGATGGTAACGAGGATGAGGTCGATGTTGGAGGCGTTTACTGTTGCTACACTCCCTGCTAATAAGCCAAGCGCGTGATGTTTCGCTACGAGCGCATCACGGTAGGAGGACTCCAGTGGTCCACCAAATCGGCTGACGGCTTGATAGTATGCCACAACAGTCGGACTCTGCTCGCCCTGGTAGGTAGAATGGCCCATGGGATTCCGTGTGATATTGTAGACGTGGAAAGCCGAGTTGGCAACTATGATGTGCAGCAAGAGTGGATAAGCGCACGTGGCCGGTATCAGATCACGCATGGGGTTTCTCCCAGGCATGTCGTAAACCACCATGACTTCACATAGCTGGGTGGCGTAGTGATACAAGTAGTATCTCGAGTTTCGGTCAAGATCATTGACCAACGGGTCAATCAGAGATCGCTGAACAACCATGGCGGTATTGTCTCCCTCTTTATTCGTGGAAGTCAGGGCATTGCAACTGGGCCCAGCATCCTGATTTTCCCCAGCCAGGTGCTGTTGTTTCGAATCCTCCTCATGATCCCAAACCAACGCCGGTGCCTTATTTGTCCTAGCCACTTTACCCATCTCGTTCCTCTCCTTCTGCACATTCTCCTCATACCCCTTCCCCATCATCTTCCCCCGACTCGCCACTCCATGATTCCAGATAAACAGCTTCCCATAACCCAGGCACTCTGTACCCGCAGCCAAACATTTCTGGCAACTTGGTAGACTGCGATCGCATCGCCAGCGCTTCTTGCGGCAATTGTGGCAGGCCTTGGTGGGTGCTGTAAAAGGCAACGTGACAGCCGACGGAAAAGTGGCGCTCATTGAGTGGGCTCGCCATGCAAGGCGTGTGGGTGAGTTGCTTGATCCAGGATGCACAAATACAGTCAGAGCGGATATTGTCGCGGTTGTTTGGATTCAGCTTCGGTGTGGAGATGCGGCGCGGGTGGAAGAGTGTGACTGGCAAGGGATCTGCAGAGCCGGTGAACGGCATGTGCGTCATGACCGTTGAGGGAGAGGGATCATGTAACTTACAGAGGGCGATTTTCACCAAGAACGTAATAGGATCATGAATTGGCCACTGATGGCGGCCGCTGAACCAGATTACTGCTCGCAACTCTGGAGGATTCGCGCACTGCACTTGGCATCGTTCGGCCGCCCTTGTGCCGAGTCCGGCCAGCTTTGGGTCTACGCTGGAAAGGGAAGCCAAGACGCAAGCTTTGCATGACGGCATCACATCGTGCTGGTCTATCACCACAACGTCACGAACACCGCTAAAGTTTTTGTTCTTTGCCTTTCTGTTGACCAGAGATATGCTGCACATCACATTTACTCTACCAGTCACAGTTCCGTCGGTGCTCACGGACTCTGGGCCACTGTACGATATAGAAAGAGTAGATTCCTGGGTTACAACTTACCACCAACAACCTACATCTGCTCATGTTCATACCGGATCGATAGACATACCTTCGCCTCACATGCATCACACATACTCTTGAACATTTCGTTACAACCCCCTCTGCCTACCACAACCTCCCATCTCATCCACGATGGACACACCAACCTCACTCAAGGCCTCACCGCCTGGCACTCCAACATCAGCTGAAGTCGAGGAAGCCACAACACCCCATATTCGCGGCTCGTACACTCCATCCGAAATTGAACGTCTTGGCCGCGAGCGCCCTGAAGTGTTCACCTCGATATGGATGGAACTCGGATTCTGCTTCGCCCTCCTCGGTTCCATGTTCGTAGCAGAGTACTTCATCTCAGGCTTCAACATTCTCCTGCCCGACCTTGCAGTTGCACTGGACATTCCCTCCAAGGCGCAGACATGGCCAGCTAGCGTTTTCGCGTTAGTAACTGGAGCTTTCCTCTTACCCTTTGGCCGACTAGCAGACATCTTCGGAGGATACATTGTGTTCAACATTGGCCTAGTTTGGTTCCTCATTTGGTCCATCATCGCAGGGTTCAGTCAGAACTACGTCATGCTCATTGTATGTCGGGCGCTGCAGGGTTTTGGACCTGCTGCTTTTCTACCATCTGGCATCATGTTGCTAGGGAGTATCTACCGTCCAGGACCGAGGAAGAACATCGTCTTCAGCCTGTACGGCGCCTTTGCACCCGTGGGCTTCTTCACTGGAATATTCTTTGCGGGTGTCGCTGCACAGTTCATAAAATGGGGTTGGTTTTTCTGGATTGGGTCATTCATTCTGGCGGCCGTGGGCATCACGTCTTGGTTATGCATTCCCAATCGGATTGAGGATCGTGTCAAAGGCGAGATAAAAATGGACTGGTGGGGCACGGCAACGGTCATTCCAGGTTTGGTGCTCATCATCTTCGCCCTGACGGATGGCAGTCACGCATCACAAGGTTGGGCGACACCGTATATCCCAGTCACCTTTGTTATCGGATGCTTGTTCCTCGGAGTCTTCATATACATTGAGGGCTGGGTCGCTGAACAACCATTGCTACCAGGCGACCTGTTCGCCGTCAAAGGCATGAAGCCCTTGGCTACAGCACTGTTCTTCCAATATGGCACCTTCGGCATCTTTCTTTTCTATGCCAGCTTCTACATTGAAGAAATCGTTGGCGCTAGCCCGATCCTCACAGCTGCATGGTTTGCACCCATGGCTGTCGGCGGCTTGATCCTTGTCACTCTCGGCGGTCTCGTACTCCATCTCCTACCGGGAAGAATGCTACTACTGCTTAGTGGCACGGCGTACATACTCTCCGCACTACTCTTCGCTATCCTCCCAGTTGAGTTCAACTACTGGGCGTACGTGTTCCCAGCCATGATCTGCGCTACACTTGGTATCGACATCACCTACAACGTTAGTAACATCTTCATCACGACATCCATGCCAAAGACACGGCAAGGCCTAGCAGGCGCGTTCATGAACTCGCTTCTATTTCTGGGAATCGCAGTGTTCCTGAGTTTTGCAGATTTGGCAGTCAGTGAGACGGAAGAGAGAGGCAAGAGGGAGAGCTACAAGATTGCGTTTTGGTTGGCAACCGCGCTATCGGGCGCGGGACTCATCATCATGTTTCTAGGAGTTAAGATTGGCAAGGCAAAAAGCGATCTGACGATAGAAGAAAAAGCGGAATTGGAAAAAGAGTTGACCAGGCGAAGGACGAACGAAGGATAGATTGGTATCTTGGAGTTTATATAATCGGCATTTACATCGTTATTGTGATAGCAACTCCGGGGTCGAAGTTCATATAGACTAATATATTGTCATAACCTTGCCACCGTTGAGGAAGTCCATTTTGCCGAGAGGTACGCCCTTGAGCCTCAGAATGTCGTATGCAGTGGTGACATGGAACCTAGAATATTACAGTCAGTACCTATGGTAACAAATACAGGCATTTTACTGTGTTCCTGCAGCTAACGGATCCACATTTTACATACCAAAAGTTAGGGTGAGAGAATTGCCAGATGTACATGACTCCCGTAAACTTGAGATTGATGGCTCCACCACCTGGTGAAAACGCAACCTCTGCCTGTTCGCGTCCCTCCAGACTCTTGGGATCGATACCCTCGAGGAATGTGATTGTCTTTTGCACGCGGTCTACCAGTTCTGCAAACGATTTCTCGTTGCCTGGGAAGGAAATCTCCTCGATAGACGGATTCAATTTATTGGGAATCGACTTGGCAACATCGGTATATAGCTGAATTTGGTAGACAAAGTCGCGCATGTCTTGGATGATACGGGCAGTGAGCAAATCACTTTCCGGGATGTTGTTTGCTTTGGCGTGCTCTTGGGCCTTGACGAGGGCCGCAAGAGCATTCTTGAGTCCGAACAGCACGGGTGTAACGCATAGCTCGTAAAAAGGAACGGACGACATGGTAAAAGTAAATTTATTTCTGATATCGGTACTGGACTTCACATGTGGGGTCGATCGAGGTTTAAGTATAGCCTTCACGGATGAATAATACACTACAAACATCAACCTTGTATGGGAGTGGAAAGCTTGGTGGGGTTTTGCGAAGGTTCGTGCGTCTTGCACTCTAATAGCCAATAAAATTGCCTCCTTCATCATACTACATACCGGCTGCCGGTTAGTTGAGCAGCCGGGCAATGCTGGGCTTAGACAAGGAATTGGCAAGGAATTGGCAAGGAACACCAGAACAAAGCTTGATAGAAGGAATTTCCTTGACACAGTTTATTGCAACTGACTTGAGCTTCCAGTTTGTGAATATCCTTAAGTGCACTTGGAACTCTCTTCTCCGCCTTGAGTCTATAAATTTCCATAGAGACATGAGTTTATACGCTTTATCAGATCTCATGTACTATGGTAGTCCACACTTTTGCGACTAACCAAGAGCAAGGCAGCCTCATTTTCAGTGTTCCCTAAGCCCGATAAAGGTATTTGCAGACAGGGTCGAAAGTGGACGCATTCAATGATTACAAAGTACTCCTACTGTGAGAACGGATGTATAGTAATCTCCGATTGGTGGTAGGTGCCGAGATCAGGTAATCGCATAGCCTGGAACCTTCAGCCTTGGAGCCTCCTGTCATTTTTCATCCAATCGTAGGCAAAGCTGATCTGCCCAGATAGATGATTGTGGGATGTTTGGGGACTGACTGCATCATGGATCGTCTCATCTACAGCAATCTGACGCCGCAGTCGACGAACGACGAAAGGTCGGACGAGGTACGGCGGAGTACTGTGTATCATAATGTGGCTCAGCTCAACCGTCACCCCTCTGTACGGAAAAGTTCTCTTAGGCCTCCATTGGCAACAGAAGTATAGAGGTTATCGATCTCCTCTGCATACAGCTCCACCGCTGCTTTCCTCCCAATCATTCCACCATCATCTGGAAGGGGAATCCCTCGCTTTGCAAATATCACATAGCGTCGTTCTAATTGGCTATAAGTTTCGACAACATTGTTAGCTTGTGCGATATATGGCCAAATGTCTTCAAGCAGCGCCCCCATTCGCGATCGATCCTCGGCTTGATATTCTGGGAGTAATTCGATTATCACGGCAGGTCGATCTCTGCCGGTTCCAACTACGATCGCGTGACGGACGAATGGATGCGTCTTGATGAGTCGTTCATGTACTGTTGGGTTAAACTTCCATCCGTTCTGGAACACAATGATATCGTCACTGCGTCCCTCGTGCTTCCAGTGGTGTGGCTTTGAAGGGTGTGGGGTGTATAGGTCCTGCATTGAATATTCTTCGAGATACGGGTAAAGCTTGAAAACTCCCTGATATTCACTCAGGCGGGGGTCCTTGATAAAGACTAGTTCGAACAGTTTGCCAACGGGGCGCATCTGTATCCCATTGAGGTTAGGATTTATACAAATATATGCCCAGTCTTCTCGATCGGTTGCGTGTTGTACAATGGCGTTGGCCTCTGTGCTTCCCATTAGGGTCGTGAGAGTAGTGTGCTGCGATATCGTATCGCCAACGTGCTTTCGCAGTGGGCCTGCAGATTGTCAGTAGATGTTATCTTTCGGTGTAGATGCCCAATTACCCCCGACATAAGAAATCTGACGTAGATTCGCAAGCTTGTTCAAGATGTGCGGCCGCTTCGCGATCTCCTCAAGTAAAGACGGTAAACAGTTCGCACTGTCGATTTTCGCATGGTCAATCATGCTGTTAAAGATCTCTACAGTGACGAATTGTGATGGACCCATGACGCATGTTGTATTGTTGAAGCATGTATCCATGATGCCTGCCCCAATGCCTGAGCCATTATAGAATGGCCAAGCGCAATAGGTTCGGTCCCTGGCGTCCTCAGGTGAGGCCCACAGGCTCCTTCGGCCTTCTAATGGTGGAACTAGATTGTGTGCGTCTATAGTGCTCAGAGACCAATGCGTCCAAAGGACCGGTTTAGGCATTCCGCTGGCGCCAGAGGTATGGACCATGAAGCAGGGTTCGTATTTCGCTTCCTCAAAAGATTTTGTATAAGGATAATTTTCGATAGGGGTTTCGTTTATGAGTGCCTCTAATTCGACCATGCGGACGCTTTTCATACGGTTCTTTTCCAGAATGCCGGCAACAGGGAGTCCATGTGTATGCAGGAGTACTGTGCAATTGGTTCGTTGGATTAAATCTGTGTGCGCAGCTAAGCTGTTATGATATGAGCTGAAGAGTGCCTAGAGGTGCTTTTAGTAGTGTCCTCGTAGGACGCACATTGTGTGCTCTCACCTTGTGTCCAGTTTTAATTCTGTCATCACACTGTCAGTAGCTGAGCCTGCTTTCCTGTACTACAGGCCAATTGAGGCGACATACAGTGCCACCAGAATTATGAAACATCTGATATCTGGGAAGCCGAGATACATGACAGTCTCAAATGAAGTGCTTCTACCAATCTCTCGTTCGATGAAATAAGCGGTCTTGTTGATGGCGTTTGCATACTATGACAATGAGCTCTGGCGACTGAAAAAGCTGCTTTCCCTCGAAAACTCATACCATTCGCCAGGTGATGTCGCGAAAGCCATGCTCCAGAGCGTCACATTTGGGAATTGAGAAGCAGGCCCGATTTGGTTGATTTCTGGCATTATCATCAATGATATTAGGGACGAGCCGTCTTCCGTATCGTGGTGAGGCCTTCGCGGTATCGAGCACTGTTTCCCAGAAGGCCATTTGGGGATAGATGAAGAGTCGAGCAAAAGCTGAGAGAAATGGACCGGAAGTATAGAAGCGTTCTTTGTCAAAACATTGTGATCTATATCCAACGATGGCGCCTGTCAGTTAACTCCGTGGCGGCTGAATGGCCGACAAATACGGGCCGCTAAAATACACTAAAGTTCCGAGTGTCCATGTTACTGTTCTAGACGGCGTGATTACAGTTGTCGCTCAAGCGCGACCCAGTCTGCTGGGCCGTGATGATTCGCATGTGCCATTATCTTGCTGCTGTGTTGTGACGAAGGTGGTTAGCTGCGTAACCATCATGTCTGCTAATTGCACATTTTTTGTTTTCGTCATCGGAGCGCATGCTTAGCGCAAACATAGGCTTCCACCTTGTCTGTCGTATCCAGGGCGGGACGAGAAGTCTTGAAGGTGGTGTCAGTGTAGCAAGTAAAACGCATCGTAGTGCGTATCGTAGTGCAGCGGAGAGATTACCCCGATCCTTGGGCATGCAAATACCTACGGTACCTAGGATATTCGTGGAAGTTGCCGAAAAAATGCCACGCCAGTAACTACAAAGGCTACTGGATCGAGACGTCGAGATCCAGCATTGACGGTGTGATATTCAAGATTGAACAATCGTGAGCACTTGTATCGAGCACTCTATTTAGTGTACCGGTACTCGCTGCGCGAATGACTAAATACCTTTTGGGTACCAACGGTATCCTAAAATGACCATGCAGGCAACGGACCGTATGCATCCAGGCGGTTCACACTACAACGGGTACGGTAAGACTGGCCACGTGAATATTGACATATTCGCAGCAAAACCAAAAAAGCGACGAGGAGCCGCTTAACAACAGCTGCAGTTGTGCCACAGGCAGTGTGGAGGTACGTGTATCGGACCATGCGCTCCACGTGGCGTCAAATGCCCTAGTCGAATGCTATATGCGCCTCTCTAAGATGTTGATTGGTGTGATCATGGTTGAGTGACCTTTGTGTCCGATCTTTTCCCCGACTGGGTAGAAATGGGACTTCCTGAATCCCATACTGTCTGAAAGCGGACAAAATGAATGCGTGTACTGTGTAGTACACAATTCAGGCCTCCGCAGAAGACAGTCATGCAAGAGTCATATAAGGATTAGAGTGCCTGTGGAATCGACAGAGCGATATTTGAGGTTGTTCTAAGCATTTTTCTACGTCTTGGGCACCTCCATCAGTCTTGGCAAATATATTCTATGACGCTGATACCCAAGTGTAGGGTCATCATCCGCAAAACCCAATTCAATCCGATATTCGAATGGAACCCTGTTCGAATACACTGAGATGCGTTAAGATCTGAGAGTCCTCACCATGGCGTGTATCTCTTTACGTGGACTCAATCAGCGTAATGCTCTCTTACACCACCAACACTATGCTGCGCACAACGTCCAACAAAAACTAGTGGCCAACAAGGGATGTAATCTTATCACCATGAAGCCAGCTCATTTCACACGCCAAGTCACAGGCGAACCTAGCAGATATGTATATATAATAGATACCATAACCGCTCAGCTGGCTGTAATCCTAATTGCAGACCCGGAAACGATTCAATCGATAATGGTGATTATGCAAATATCCCTGAGGAGAAGACAACGCCATTTTCACGAACTACTTAGAGCGAAGGAAATCAGACAGACAAAATCTTCATATCAAAGATGATGAAACTCGATTGGAAAGATCGCCCAACTGCAAAAGAGTACTAGAAAGACAGAAGATGAATGGTGGAATGACACGGAATAATGTCGACTATTACACCATTGAGTACGAGTGAGTTGTTTATCGTGGAAGGAAAAAGATGGAAAGGAGATATGAGGCGAGCAAAGCATCGCAGATATATCAAGAATCCTAGTCTCCGTGTCTTATGGTTTTATTTGGAAATGGCTTATGTTGATATGGTCTAACTCCAGAGTTATGGCCTCGCTCTTTGTAGAATTTATCGAGCCAATCATGTGCTCAAGAAGGCTTGAATGAAGCAAATCTACAAACAGTCCCGCCCGATTTCCTGTCTAAACTGCAAATATAATTGTTCTACATTTTATTCACATGTGGTCTTATTCACAAACGACTGACAAATCCACTCCTGTCAACCTTGACCAAATACTCCTTCCTGATATCCTCCACTTTTGTCACACCTGCAAGCCCCATACACAATCTGATCTCATCCCCGAGTAGTCTAAGTGCCAACTCGACCCCTTCCTGACCCTTATACGCCAAACCCCACAATACAGGCCGTCCGATCCAGACAAAATCAGCGCCCAACGCAATTGCCTTGAACACATCTGTTCCATGCCTAATACCCCCATCTACATGTACAGGAATCTTCCGGTCGCCTTGCGCTGAGTGCACAGCCTCCACAACTTCAGGCAGCGCATCGATGGTGGCCAGCGCACCGTTGAGTTGGCGACCACCATGATTAGAAACAATGATACCGTCAACACCATGGTGGCAGGCAAGGAGTGCATCTTCAGCTGTCGCGATGCCTTTAACCCAAACTTGCATTTCAGGCTGACATATTATCTTGAGCCAGGCAATGTCACGATCCCAATTCAACGTTGGATTTGGCGCATGAGAGTGGAAAGTGATAGGTCCCTTGGGCGGAGTTCGGTCACTACCCCCGCTGACTTGACTCGCATCTTCCTCTTCCGCCTTCTCGTCATCATTGATATCCTCGGTGCAGTTGAAGTTTGCAGCACTGAGATGCTTTGGTAGTTTGAATTGGTTCCGAATCTCCAGATTGCGTCGGCCAAGGAGCGGCGTGTCGACAGTCAGCATCACAGCTTTATAGCCAGCCTTTTTTGCACGGCGAATTAGAGCCCGAGATTTTGCTCGCTCTTCAAAGAGGTAGAGTTGTAGTGCTCCTGGGTGGTCTGGACCAAGTGCACCACGAACATCTTCCAAACTCGTGGTGCTAAAGCTACTCAGACCCATTACAACACCCATCTCTTTACAAGCTCGTGCTGTTGCTAGCTCACCGTCATCGTGCGCGAGGCATTGCATAGCGGTTGGTGCAACACCCAGTGGAATGTTGTTTCTAAAGTCGAAAATGGATATGCTCGTGTCAATGGAAGAAATGTCGCGGAGAACTCGTGGCCGGATGCGATACTTTTGGTATGCTGTAATGTTTTCCCGTAGTGTGGAACCAGAATCTGCGCCTTCATTATAATAGTCACGCGTTTGCTTGTCCATGCGCTCTGCTGCGAGCGCCTCCAGCTCACTGATGGTCAGACAATTGAAGTCGTGGGCTTTGGAGTTCGCCATTGGTGTGACACTTGGATGAAGTTGTGTTACCTATTAATGTTGATTGTAAACTGGAAACTGATGCGCAGATACAAAGCACAGATTGCTTGTGAATCAAAAAAGAGCAAAAGATGAGTCCGAGAATATGCTGGCTGTATTAGGATTTTGCGCTGCGACAATGTTACCTATTTCCATGTCGGCTATGTGGAAAACGATGACGATATCGACGGGACTGACGCGACACAAAATGGTGGCTTGCCGATCTCGGCTGGTCATACCAGGTATCCACTTGTCTACTCATCATACGAGGTAGGTCTCAAGAATGCACGTCACCAAAACTCATTAGCAAGATACTGTAGATAGTCAAATGATTATGATGTATTATGTTATTACTTGCCTCTAAATTCAAAGACTTTTCGTGATTGACTAGCAGCTTGACTCTCGCTCTCGCTCTGTCTTGTACCAAGATGGGTACTGCTCACTCTGCTTGTCTCCGACTCTCGATAAAGTCAACAAACTCAAAGAAGCTCTTCTTGTACCTACGCTCCTGTGTTGTCCGATTTACAGTTTGAATGCCGAAGTGCTGATCATAATCACCAAACTCCCAGTTGTCCATGAAACTCCACGCAAAAGTGCCGATGAACTCGACGCCATCTTCCCAGATAGCCTTAAGACCTTCATTAAGATAAGACTGGTAGTACCAGCTGCGCGGACTGTCAAACTCCTGGTCGGGCTGAGACTTCAATGCTTCACCAAATACGGGGAAGCCGAGTTCGCTAACTAGCACGGGGGCGCGGAAAGTGTTGTATAAGTAGTTGAGGAAGGTACGGAAGTAAGCTGGTGTCAGGTAGACATATGACTGGCTTCTATAGCCGATGTTCCATCCAGTTGTACTGAGTGTGCCCTGTGTTACACAATATGGTCGTAGCGGGTGCGTAATATTTGCGGCACATTCAGCGATCGTGTTGTTCGGCGGGGGACTAACAACGGTGGCAGTGTAGGGCTGGATCGAGAGAAAATCTGCGGTTCCGTTTATGTATGCCAAATCTTCAGCGGTGAGGGGTACGTAGTCAGAGATCGTCATCTTGAAGGATTCTGGGTAATCTTGCCCAAGGAAAATGGGGTTCGAGAAGGTCGCAATCTGGAAAGAATTGAAGTGGAACGCGGCGTCCACATCTGCAGGATCTTCTGGGTTGCGAGGTACACCAAAATTATCGTTGAAGGTCAACGAGATCTTGCCCGTACCGCCAATTTCTTCACGGTAGAAATGCGCCAGCCGCGCATGCGCTTTGATGACAGCATTGATCGACTTCCCGTTGCGAGAAGCAAGAAGCGGTTCATTGAACGTCCACCAGATGGGTACACGGTCTGCAAAGTGAGTCATGACGATCTTTCCATAGTTCACGAAAGCGTCTTCAAAGGAGACGTTCTTGGAGGAGCGGTGGAATCCACCATCGACGACACCAATGCCCCCTGTTCCGGGCTCAATGGAAGTCTCCGATGTGTTAGAGTAAAATGACATTGGGCTGTCATTGTGGTGGAGTACGATGGCAGGTAACATGCCTTTTTCAAGCACAAAGTTGATCAGGTCGTCGTAATGCGCCAGACCCTGCTTGTTAATCGGGCTACCCGGAATAGCAAACGGCATGATACGCGTCCATGGGATGGAAAATCGGTAGTACTTCACACCCATGGCTGCAATGCGCTCGATGTCTTGCTTATACAGGTAATAGTTCTCGTTGGCAACGAAGTTGCTGGCCCTTCCTGGTGCCAGACTCAATAGGTCAATGTGGGTAGGAGTTCGACCCTCGTCTGCAACAGCTCCCTCAATTTGACATGCTGACGCCGCCACACCCAGTAGAAAATCGGCAGGGAATTTGTAACAGCTCTGAGGACCGAAGACCTCGGGAGGAGGTAATGCTAGCTCACTAGTCGGCACAGGTGTAGGCGACACAGTAGTAGAGTAGATGCCTCTCGTGAAGTTCACCCATGGAATGGTTGTCCATAGCGCAGTCCAAGAAGCATTCCCATACGGATTTTGCAAGTCCGTTACAGACGGAGTCACCGAAGGATCCCAGTTGCCCCACTGGGTGGTGGTCAGATTGGGTACCAGACTGCTGAGAGACGCATAACCTGGCGCATATGATGTTGTGGTTGTGGGAGCTGGAACAGATGTGGCGGTGCGAACAGTCTCTGTCTGCGTATAGCTAAAGTCTCGGAAGGTGTAGGAAGGACGTGCAGTTGCATATGAGTTGTTGGCGGCACATTGCGGTAATGAGGACGGTCCATCAACTTCGAGGTAGACCTGCTGGGCGCTTGCTACAGCAGCAGAAATGAAAACTAGTTTGGTCTTCATGATGGTAGGTCGTCAACAGATATCTAGCACCTTTTCACTTGCCTTGAAAGCTTTTTATAAGCCATGGAAATCAATGATCAAGAGCTTATGCCTTTCGGAATGTGGGGATCACGGTCGTCATCCGCAAGAGCGGCACAGATGTATCCTATGAAAACTATCAAAATGTGTGTAGATCAACAGCATTTCTAGCTCCATGTGGCTTGGTGTCGGAGAAAGCATCAATTTGGATGAACCTCGGGAATCGTACTTAGCGCGTTACCTAATTGCGGGGTGCATGCGGCCCTAGCCAGTTATGAACATTGCGCTAGCTGGGCAATGTACATGATCCGAAGGGCAAGAAAGACTTCTCTTTGATCGATCCAACTATGGTACAAAATTGGTCCGACTTTCGGGACAAGACGAAGCGGGAATCATGGTAGGCACTTCTACATGGGTCTTCACCAGGTACCAAGCCGTACTCCCTCGTGAAATCAAGACGGAGGAAGCCCGTCCCGTCACTAGTGCAACAGCCTTATTCAGATACGTGCTCATTCTCCCCACGTTCTCTGTTGTTATTCATGTGCCGCATTGAGCAACAGTGGCTGGGACATACTACAGTGCTTTACGACTCCAGCATTGCGACGGCAAGATATCGTCCCAGTCCAATGCGGGGATAGTTTTTTTTTGGAAGAAACGGGTAC